AGGGGTCGGCGGGAACAGGCGGCGCCTGCCGCATCCCCCGTAGTGTCCCTGCATCACAAACCCACATCCTTGAGGACAGCCCCTAACCCTGCTCTGGAGCATCCCTTGGGATCCTGGCACGAGGCACCCACGGACCCACCATGGGGAGATCCACGTATGAAATTTATTTAGGAAACCAAAACCCACCAAAAATTATAGAGTAAGAAAGAAGGGGGAGGAGGAAGGGAAGGAAAAGGGGAAGAGGAATAGAATGAGAGGAAGGAGAAGGAGAAAGAAGGAGAAGGGGAGGAAGAGCAATAGGAGGAGGAGGAGAAGCAAAGAAAAGAAGAATGGGAGGAGTGGAAGAACAAGGATGAGAAGGGGAATGAGAACTAGGAGAAGAAAAAAAGAAGGGGAAGAAGAAGACATGGAAGATGAGAATAATGACGAGGAAAAGAAGGAGAGAAGAAGAAGGGGAGGAGAAAAACGAGGAGGAGAAGGACAAGGACAGAAGGGGAGGAGGAGAAGGGGAAGGAGGAGGAGAAGGAGAAGAAAGAGGACAAGAAGAGGAAGGACAAGAAGAGGAAGAAGGAGAAGGAGAAGAGAAGGAGGGGAAGGAGACAAAGGAGAAGGAGCAGGTTCGTCTCCTCCTCGGGCTCCGCTGGAGCCCAGCACAACCAGCGCCGCGGAAGGAGCAGGAGGAGCCGGCGGAGGTTCCACCCAAAAGGATCTTTCCGGGGGCCGGGAGAGCAGCGCCCACCAGCGGCAGGGCCTGGGAAAGCGGGATACGGCCGGGAAACTGGCACCCCGGCGCCCCGCCGTGGCGTCGTTCCCGGGATGCGGGACCCCAGGCGGGATCCCCATCCCCGCATCCATCGGCACCCGTTCGGGATGCGGGACCCCCCTCATTGCCGCACTGGCACCGGGATGCAGGTACCGGCTGGATGAGGAACGTTGGTCCATGACCACGCTGGTGTCACACCAGGGATGGAGCCACCTTCCTCCTCTTGCAGTGTGGGGGTTCGCTGCCTTGTGGGACCATCCGTATCCCCCCTTGTGTCATCTCATGGTGGCCAAGGGAGGTGGAGAAGGGCTTGGGGGGATCTTGTAGGAGAAGCCAGCAGCCAACGTGGTCACCGCGTGGGTCCTACCAGGGTTTGGGCAAAGGCATCTCCGAGTAGGTAAGGCAAAAGGAATTGAGTTCACTTTGTCCATGGTGGGGTTCTCCTGATGCTCCCATAGACACGTGTGCTCCAGGGCACCCCAAGAGAACAGGCCAAGCTGCCCTTGATCCTGGTGGGACCAACCCCGCTGGGACCAACCCTGGTAGAGCCAGGACTTCACTGTGCTGCTTCCATCACCTTCCTCTGCCGTGGTGGTGGCGATGGAGCCATCAGCTCCCATGGGCTGGGTGAAGCAGCCAAAGGGGCCTCATCCCTGGCTCCCCCTGCCCTGGTTCTCCTGCTCATGGCTGGCTTGGGTGGCTTTAGGTGGGGTGACAAAGAGCTGGAGGGACCCTGTGTGGTTGGTGGAGCAGAAGGGTCCACACGTGTTGGGTGGTGGGGCTGGAGGGACCACGGGGTGGGCAGCAGGGTCCATGCATGGTGGTTGGTAGGACCACAGGAGGATGGCAGCATCCATGCATTTGTGGGACTAGAAGGACCACAGGAGACCATCAGGGTCCATGCATGGTGGTTGGTAGGACAGGAGGGACCAGAGGAGGGCATCACTGTCCATGCATGGTGGTTGGTCTGACCACAGGAGGATGGCAGGGTCCATATGCATCAGTGAGCAGGGCAGGAGGGATGGTGGGACACTGGCAGGGTCCATGCGTGGCCAGACGGACCATAGGAAACCACCCGGGTCCATGCAAGGTGCTAAGTAGGACCAGAGGGACCACAGGAGGCCATCGCTGTCCATGCATGATGGTCCGTAGGACCAGAGGGTCCACGAGGGGATGGTAAGGTCCATGCATGGCAGTTGATGGGACCAGAAGGACCACAAGAGACCATCAGGGTCCACGCATGGTGGTCTATAGGACCAGAGGAACCACAGGAGGGCATCACTGTCCATGCATGGTGGTCTATAGGACCAGAGGAACCACAGGAGCAGAAGGACCACAAAAGACCATTGGGGTCCATGCATGGTGCTCTGCAGGACCAGAAGGACCGTGGTGGGGTCTGTGCACAGTGGTCACAGTGGGGTGAAGCCATGGACGGGTTGGTCACTGTGCAGCCACTTGCAGGGAGGAGGCTCCAGGATGGGCACCACGGTGCTGAGCCACAGAGACACCACGTGGTGGGGACATGGTGGGTACCAAGCAGGAGCAGGAGCTCCTCCAGCCTTGGCACGGGTGTAGCCCTTGCAGGGGACATGGTTTGGTGGGACCAGGCTGGGTGAAGGACACGGGTCCTTCCATGGGTGATGGGTGGTGAGAGGCAGGGGGGGTTCTCCAGCGTGGTGGGGCTGGTCTGGTAGGATGCAGGCAGAGCATCCCCACGGTCACCCCGCTCCAGATTCCTCCTCCATGTAGATACAGCCTCTTTCCATGGGTCTCATCCTGGCTCCTCCATCCCCAGCGCTTCCATCCCATCTCCCCAGCCTTGGGTCCACCTTTGGGGTCCATAGGGTCATCCCCACACCCTTCACCCCACCACCAGCATTCCCATTGCCTCTCATCCCTCTCCATCCCACTGACCCTGTTTCAGGTGACAACCCCTCTGAGGGTGCTTCCATTGAGGACATTGTCCCCATTGTCACCCCATGGGGACAACACCTGCAGCCTTAAGGCAGTTGAAAGCACACCCAGCCCCATGGTGTCCCCATGGTGTGCCCATGGCGTCCCCATGGCGTCCCAAGGCAGAGTCCCATCAAAGAGGGGTCCAAGGACCACCGGGTGTAGGTGACACCTCAATGAACACCCGGAGGAAGGGGACAGTCCCCACGGGAGGGGAGGTGGGTGATGGCTGAGCCCTCACCATGGAGCTCCAGTCACTCACGTCCAACCCCACCACCCCACAACCTCCTCCCCATGGGCTGGGGGGGCTGAGGGCTGGGGGGGGACCAGTGGTGGTGTCCCCCCCATCCCCCCCTTCACTCAGCCCCCACCACGGGGTGTCCCCCCTCGGGCTCCAGGCACCCGTTGAGCTGGGGGTCGGGGGCCTGGGGGTCATATTCCTCATCCAGGAAGTCCAAGGAGTTGTTGCTGGGGAGGCCGCGGATGG